ATAATTCTTAATTTTATCTCTTTCTATTCTTTTATTTTTCAAAAAGCACACCTTTCCTTCCATCTACCACCTCCGATAACTCAATCTGTATTGCTCCTTCTATACTTCCTTCACCCCTTGTTTCATCCCATGCCATCTTATTGCACATGCGTCTCTTCCCCTCCCTACTCTAAATCCCAATGTCCAACACACACATACAAGTCCCATTCCCACCTTTTTTCTCTGGCAACCCATTTCCTTTTAGCAGCTGGGGTTGTGTCTTCTAATCCTGGCCCCTCTGCAGCCCATCCTAAGCACCACCAGAACAACTAAGAATCTCTTGTAAACCCTGTCAATCCACTGCATCCCATCTTTTACTGTACCCTTTGGAATTCACACTCTATAACACCATAAAATCTACTGCTATTCACAATCTCCTCATCTCCTTCTCTTTACACCTCTTGGCATTGACTAAAACCTGTCCCTTTTACACTGCAATCCCTACCTCCCTATCTTATAGTGGATTGCACTTATCCTACTTTCTCAGGCCATGAGATGCTAAGGGTTGTGGTGTAGGGTTTTTGCTCTCCCCTCACTGTTTCTTCAAAACTTTTCCCCATTGTTCTTCTCTCTCATTTTCATTTTTTGAAGTCCACTTTATTGATGTCTTTTGTCCCTCTCTCAGCCAGTGTTGCTATTTTCTACCGTCCTCCTGGCTCTCCTCCTTTTTTTTGTCTGCTTGGCTTTCTTACTTTCTCTTGTCTGACATTCCTTCCGTCATCCTTGGTGACTTCAACCAATCTAACAATTCAACAGCATCTCGAATTCTATTTATCACCTCATCCTGTGGTCTTACTCAAAGGACCAACTACTCTACTCACATAGCCAACAAGACCCTTGACCTTGTCTTTTTCAAGCTTTGTTATGGCTATAACTTTTCTAATACACCTTTCCCTCTGTCTGACCATCGTCTTCTAGCTTGTGCTGTGAATGTGCCCCTCACCTGACCATTATCTTCTAACTTGCGTTGTGAATGTGCCCCTTACTCAACATATTAAACCTAGCTTATATTGGGCTATAAGAAAACAGAAAACATTGTATTTTCCTGATTCTTATCCTGTCCTTCTGAATGCTCATTTAGTGACTCTTTCTCTGGTGCCAACTTCTCCACACTGCCTGTCTCAGTTGGTGTTCCCAAAGGTGTTCTCCTTTAGAGTTGAGCGGACACCTGGATGTTCGGGTCCGGCGGGTTCGGCTGAACTTTGAAAAAAAGTCCGGGTTCGGGAATCGAACTTGACTCCGAACCTGAACCCCATTGAAGTCAATGGGGTCCCAAATTTCTGGGCACAAAAATGGCTCTAAAAAAGTCCTGGAAAGGGCTAGAGGGCTGCAAAAGGAAGTAAAATGGGGGTAAGAGTAGGACAAGTGCCCTGCAAACAAATGTGGATAGGGAAATCACTTAAAATAACATAAAATACATAAGATAAGCAGCCGCTTAGTAGAAAGCTCCCTAATTCCCACGGTATTAGGGAGCTATCTACCAAAGGGCTGAAAGACCTAAATTGGTCTTTTAGCCAACTTTACTAATACTAAGTAAAGATTACTTAGTATTAATAAATTCAGCCCCTACTCGCTATACCGTGAGTAGGGATGTGTCTAGTAAACAGTGAGCAGCCAGAGCCACGCTGTGTAAAATGACACAGAGCACTCTGATTGTTGGATTTCAAGCCAACCAATCAGAGTGCTGTGACAGGTAAATGTAGAGACTTACCTGTCAGTCTCTTCATTTACCTGTCAGAACACTCTGATTGGATGGCTTAAACCCACCAATCAGAGTGCTCTGAGCCTAATTGCAGGGTGGGGCAAGGCTTTATAAGCCTTCCTCCGCCCTGCAGAGCTCAGTCTGCACGGAGCCCTCCATCGGTGAAAATTTATTTATTTTTTTTGCTCTCGTTTAAAAAAAATATATTTTTAAAGTGCGTCAGTTATTATGGATTTTTATTTGCCTCTTTTGGGGCTGAAAAAAGAAGAGTTTAGAAGAAAGAAGACATCAAATGGTAACTCTTTTTTTTTTTTTTTTACAGGTATTTAGATAAGGGTCCCCCCTCATTATTTTTAGGATGAGGGGGTAGGTAGGGGTAATTTTTTTTGGAGAGGAGGGGGGTGACTAGAGGTTTGGGCACCCCTAGTCACCCGGAAGGAAAGGTGTGCTTTTTGAAAAATGGGGGGGTAAATTTTTATTTAGGGCCCCCACCCACCGCTCAGGGGTGGGGGCCGGGGGGAGGACAGTAGGTCCCCCCCTTATTGTTATTTAGGGCCCCCACCCGCCACGCAGAATTGGGGGCTGGGGGGGAAGACATTAGGTCCCCCCCAAATTCTTATTTATGGCCCCCACCCACCGCTCAGGGGTGGGGGCCGTGGGGGAGGACATTAGGTCCCCCCCAATTTTTATTTATAGCCCCCACCCACCGCTCAGGGGTGAGGAGAATAGGTCCCCCCCTATTTATATGTAGGTCCCCCACCCACTGCTCAGGGGTGGGGGCCGGGGGGGCAATAGGTCTCCCTTTTAGTTTAAAAGCACCCACTTGCGGGTGGGGGCTCAGGAGGGGGGAATGTTTTTTTTTTTAACAGTGAGCAGCCACAGGCCGTGGGGAGGACATTAGGTCCCCCCCCCAATTTTTTTTTTTGACATTCTTTATTTATTATTTTATCTTTTTTTTTTGTCAATGTGGAAAGATAATACAATTACAACCTTAGACAAAGGCCAATAACATCGGACCAAGAGAATCATTGTTATCGAAAAATACAGCGAGATGATAGTATCGAAGCAGAAACACATCTAAAACCACAACCGTAAACACCCTCCCTAGCCCCAAGAATGGCCAGCCTCCTAGTACCCCTTCAGGAGTCACGTGGGGCATGCTAAGAGTGGGACATGGTAATCGCAGCTATCCCGTAGACGTCGTTGAGCTGTGAAACGTATCCACCCCGTGTGTCTACCGCTACGTCCCCATGGGCCAATTGGTGCGCCCGCTCATGCCCCCTATCCCCGTTGGCCCCCCTCAACCACCCGCCAGGTGCCCCCCCAATTTTTATTTATGGCCCCCACCCACCGCTCAGGGGTGAGGGCCAGGGGGGAGGAGAATAGGTCCCTCCCTCTTGATATTTAGGGCCCCCACCCACCGCTCAGGGGTGGGGGCCAGGGGGGGCAATAGGTCCTCCCTTTAGTTTAAAAGCACCCACTCACGGGTGGGGGCTCAGGAGGGGGGAATGTTTAATAGACACGCCCCTACTCGCGGTAGAGCGAGTAGGGGCATCATTTTATAATACTAAGTAACCAGCTTATATAGAGGCTGGGTCACATGCTGTACTGGCCAATTACAGTCATGCAATTAGTAGGCATGGCTGTGATGGCTTCTAAGGGCACACAAGTCAAATGCTTGTTGATTGGCTGCCCTGCAGCCTTTCAAAATGCGTCATTAAATCGCCGAACACCGAACTCCAACCCGAACATACAGTGATATGTCAGTGTTCCGGGGTCCAAAAACTGTAATGTTCGGTACGAACCCAAACTTTACAGTCCGGGTTCGCTCTCCTTACATCCAGTCTTCAAATTCTGTAAATTTCACCTTACAGGTTGTAAGTTTGTTTGAGCAAGGCCTTCTTCACCTCTTGTCTCTGTTATGTTATGTATGTAAATATCCACACATTTAATAATGTAAAGCATTGAGGAATATGTTGGCACTATATAAATGCTAAGAAATAATAACAGTAATTATGGTGCGAGGAGTGGTTATGGTGGCCCCCAAGTAGTCAAACCATTTTAGAACAGTGCGACTCCTTACCTGGGGTCCATCAGGTACTACCTCTCACTTGCACTACTTTTTAAGGAGAGTCTGATGATCCTAAATATGGGCTTCTATTAGCTCTCCTCAGATGATCACAGGAGATTAGGGCTAACTAAGTGGTCAGCTAATCACTCTCAGCCTATAAGCTATGCCCTGCACCACCAAGCCTAACTTAAATAGATTTTTGGAGGTAGGGATCAGCACCCAGTGGACCCCAGGTAGGAAGTCAGACCGTTCTGAAATAGTTTGGCTCCTTACAATGGTAGGTGCCAGGGCAGTTCTTTCTTGGTTTGTTTCAGAGGAACGACAACAATATGTATGTTACTGTTGGGGCAGCACTAATGGAGTCTTTGTGTCAATTTGGTTATATTAATGGAGCGGTTCTCATCAGAAATGCCGGCAAAATTACACACAGTAAAATTTTCACACCATTGCAGAATTGGAGCAGAGACAGCAAGTAATGTGATAGTTGGTCAGTGTTTATAAACATTCCCATGAGAGATGAAAGATGGTCATTGTTGGACTTTAGAAAGGAACAGAACTCACCAGTGCCTCCAAGAACCTCAAAGTCAAACTAAGCTGGTTTCCTTGTCATGGTTATAGTGATGAACTTGGAGATGTGTATAATTAACATATATCTCACGCTTCGACTGCATTTTATTTACTAGATACATTTTCAATTTCATCTCTGATTTGCATGAAAAATCTTAATAAACAGTGGCAAATTAAATCTAATTGAGAATGTAGCAGTACAGGCCTTACAGAGAAACAAATTGTATGATGTTTCTAAAACAAGCACATTAATTAATCCACCCTATACAATAATAAATATTTACTTGCATATTGAGTTAATATAATAAAAGATCAGCAGTGGTGTAAAACCGGTTACCCTTTATCAATTTTCTCAGTTAAATTAATTATCTCTAAGACTCATTATGTTTAATTTTTTCCCTGGAAATCTATCAACTATACAGTGTAAATGAGCAGAGTGACAATTTGCATTGTATAAAAAATAAAAAAGGCAAATAATCTAATTAGATCATCTTTTATTAGCTATTAGTTAATGAGAGGGATACACATATTGAGAAGTCAAGATCAGGAAAGATTTTAATTATTGCATTACACAATACAGAGATTTCCAAACAGATACATAGTTTTCAAGTGTCCTTATTTAGAAGATAGAGAAATAGGGTATCTACAAACCATGCCTCCAGTCCAGTCGACCAAGCTTTTCAGTGAAACGAAAAGAAGGAGTGGGCACAGGTATAAGGTCCACGGCAGATTTATTAGACAGAAACAGGCAACTTTTTGGCTGTATATAAGTCTTTGTTAACCTTGACCTATGCTCATACAGAGCAAAAAATATTGCCTTGATTCTGGCATTGAACTTATATTTGTGTCCAGTTTTGTTTTAAATAGTTACATAGGCTGAAAAAGGACATGTGTCCATCAAGTTCAGCATTTCTCACGTCGATTTTTGCTGTTGATCCTTTTTTAGAAGGGACAGTCCCTATTTTGGGCCCCAAGCCCTCTTTCTCTCTTTTTTATTTTAATGTCCCTGTTTTCTAGGAGTTCTATTTTTTATTTTATTTATTTTTTGTGGATAACTTGTTATAGATTCTAAGTTGTTTTATACAAAAAAAATAAGCATTGCTACCATGACTTAAACAATGACTGTACCTGTCTCCATTTGCATACATGTATCTGTTTTTTATTATTATGTCACTCTCAAACTTTATGTTACTGCCTCTGTGATTATGCCACAGTATACGTATATTAGTATAGTGATGCTTAGAAATTCTTCAATATAATTTGGATCAAAACAAAGAGGACGTTACCTACGCTCTGGCCTAAATCCCCATGTCCATTTAAACAAAATGGAGGTTCTTTGGTTTTATTCCAATGGCCATTTGAATATATAAGCTTATCTGCCACGTCAAGGCAAGCCTCAATAGGTGAGTTCCTACACTAGCCATTAGATATGCTGATATCAGCCAAGAATCTCCAGTAAGACAGGAAGGGGTATTTTATAAACCCTTTCACATTTAACCCTTTATAGGGCTTCTACACATACAATAAACTTTGCTGGTATCCAGTGGCGTCGCTAGGGGGGGGCCATGGCCCCCCCTACATCATGCTGTGCCCCCCCTTGGGCCCCCCAAATGCCGGCAACTTGCTGGCCATGGGCTTCCCTCGGACTGTAACAGCCTGTCACAGCCCGAGGGAATGCAGGAGAGAGGTGCTGGGGGCTGTCTGTGGCCGGAGGGAGCACTGATTGGCTCCCCGGCACAGGCCCCGCCCCCAAATGAAGCCCCGCCTCCCGCCGATAAGCCCCGCCCCCGCCATAAAGCAGCAGCCCATGCTGCTGCAGAAGATGGCTGCCTGACCCCCAGTGACAGACTCCAGTGACAGGTAGGCTTGGGGGCGGGGGGTGTTCACACACACACACTGCCCCCCATACACACACACTGCCCCCATACACACCCATTGCCCCCCATACTGCCCCCATACACACACATTGCCCCCCATACACACACACTGCCCCCCCATACACACACATTGCCCCCATACACACACATTGTCCCCCATACACACACACTGC